GGCTCTTCAGGTGGATGCAAAATGTGTTACAGGTAGAAAGGAGTGATAAGAACTGCAAAGTATTCTTCCCAGAGAATCATACATGATTTCCTTACAGAATGGGAGGTGTGGTCATGTCTGTGCTGTGAACTCAGGTCAGCGGGTCCACTGGGGAACAGGTGTCCTAGAGAGAAACCTTAGTGGATGCCAAAAGGCAGGCCCTGCGGTGGCCTGGGGGTCCCAAGGGCCTATCTGTGAGTGGGCACCAACACACATGATTCCAAATAGCAGTGGCTTCTGCTTAACCCCCTGCAATGGTATCTTTGGGGGAGCTTTGCGTCCCTGGCTTAAACCTCTTGGTGATGCCTGCTGCCTGCACGAAGACATTTCTCCACTGCCACCGGGGCTGTGATCAAGATTGAGGTCTGCCAGTGGCCTTGAGATGTATGTAGCCTTCAGGGTGTCAGAATACATCGGGTGGTGTCTACCAGGCTGTAGCCATGCCATCAAGTGTGCAACAGAAATGGAATAAATGTCCCTGCCCACTTCCACATCTCACCCGTCATCTGGGCCCCAAAGCAGCACAGCTTGTACCCACGAGCTGTCAGAGTCCTTTGGAAAACAGTTCCTTCACTGCTGTCCATGGAGCCTCTCCTCACTTGGCTTGGGCTCATATCTGGGTGACAGGCAGGGTCAGGCAGCAGGCATAGTCCAGCCTCACAGGCAGCACCCTGCAAATAAGCTCATGCAAATAGACACCTGCAGGCTGACACGTTGCCAGCTTATCAGGCACACCCACCCCTTTTGGCCTCACCTGGTTCTGGCTACATTACAGGAGATTCTTCCATTTTCACGGGAGGATTTTACAAATCAGCCTGCATTCGTTTCCTGCAGCTGCTGTAACAAAGCACAAACCTGATGGCTTAAAACAACAGCCATTTCTTCTCTGACGGTTCTAGGGGCCAGACGTCCAAAATCAGTTTCACTGGGCTAAAGTCAAGGTTTCAGCAGCGCTGGTGCCTTTTGAAGACTCTGGAGCAGAGTCTGTTCCTCTAGGGCATGCTTGCATTCCCCGGCTGTGGCCACTTCACTCCCATCTCTGCTTTGGTAGTCTCATTGCCTTCTGCCTCTCTGAGCACCTGCCCTCCTCTTATAAAGCCCCCTTGAGTATATAGGGCCCACCTGGATAATCTAGGCTAACCTTCCCATCTCAAAATCCTTAACTTCACCACATTTGCAAAGCTCCATCTGTTACACAAGCTAACTTTCACAGGTTCTGGGGTTTGCGGCATGGATATCTTTGGGGCCATTATTCCACCTATCACGTGTCCCTATTCAGCCCCTCATTTTGTGTTCACAATGGTTCTGTGAGGATGAGAAACTGAGGCTCAGAAAGGATAGACAATTTGCCAAAAGTCACCCAGCCAGAGAGTGGTAAGGAAGGAGGGGGTGGAATCCAGATTTACAGGGTCTTAACCAAGTTGAACAGATGGTATAGTGGAGTAAGAGAGGGTAAGGCAGCCACTATGTGAAAAGGGCCTGCTGCTTTTCCCTCCACAATTTCTGCATCTCTGACATGCCCGAGCAGGCCTTTGTTCCTACTTCTTCCTTTCAAGGGTTAAGAGTTGAGTGAGCACAAGGGCACACCTGCAGACTGTCCTAGTTCAAGGAGTGACCCACATTGGAAGAAAAGAGCTAAGCAGGCCACAGCTGGGTCCAATTTTCCCTCCTTCTCCCTGGCCTCTATGGCAGTCCAATGGTGGCTTGCACAGCACACACTCACATGTGGCTTCGTCAATGATTTTCTCAATGAAACCATGAGTTAATATACTTCCTGTTACTTACGGAGATGCCCATATCCCAGGGACCCTCAGCTGTGACCCAACAGCAGGAATGGGAACTTAGCTCGCTGGCACTGAACCAGAAAAAAAAAAGAGTCTTAGAGCAATATTCACTTGTTATTATAAAGGCAAGGCATTGATCCAATATTTAGTTGGTGTTGGAGGCAGACAACAAGCATTGTTCATTTCCTGGGTATCTCAAAGGCACATACAGGAACAGTCGCACCTGCTTGGAATGAAACGTGCTCAGGCCACAATAAGACATCAAGTGACTCATGTCACTTCTTGGGGAAGCCAAGCAATTGGCTGTGCTGTGCAGTGATGCATAGATTGAAGTGAACTTAATCACTGTGTTCAAGACTCACTGAACCCTTTCTGGTGGCTCAGGGCAGACAAATGACCAGCCCCTGCATTCAGCTGCAGTCCCATCTGACTCTCAGAAGCCTGACTTCCTGCTTATCATTCGTGATGCTGCACCCAAAGTTTCTCTCTCCTTAAAGGAGTCTGGGAGCAAATCAGACCCCTTTGGTTGGGTGAGAAATGAGTCCCGAGAAGGGGTCTCTCGGTGGCCTAGAAACCAGGAAATCCTGCTAAGTGAAATAAAGGGTGAAGCTTCCTTTGCCTTAACTCACATCAGCTCTGTGCAAGGATTGACCAGACTCTTGAATGTGTCAGTCAAGGGCCCTTCACCACCAGCAACAGGGACAGAATCAGCAGCAAGGTTCCTCAATGTTGGGAGGAAGACAAATTATCATGTCCACATTAGAGAGCAATTTTATATGCTTTCTAATGTTACATATGCTTTTGGATGCATCCATTTTATATTAAATTTAGAATCTGCATATTTTAACGGATCATATTTACATACTTTAAAAAATGGTTCTATTTTTCCATTTAACAGTATATCCTGGGAATTGTGCCACTAGGATGTTTCAACAAAAACTGTTTAATGATTGTCTAGTGCACAGATCTACCCTATTGTGTTTAATTCCTGCTGTTAGGCATCTAAAATCATGCTGATGCTTTGGATTATAAACAATGCTATAAGGAATGCCTTTGTACCTAAATCATGGCCTATTTTCTGGATTTTGATTTTGTAAGTATAAATTCCTAAATTTACTTCATCAAAAGGGTACGTATTTCAGTTAGCTCTTGCAGGGTAATAAACCACTCCTAAACTCCTAAACTTAGTGATTTAAAATAACAATTAATTACTTCCTAGGATTCTGAGGGTTGGCTGAAGAATTCTTTGCAGAGTTTCTTCTGGAGTCACTCATAAGGCTGCGTTTCACAGGGGGGTTGACTGGGCTGCAAGGTTCCGGATGGCCTTACTCACATGTGCAGCAATTGGTGCCGGTGGTCGGGCTGAGGTTTTCCTCCATGTGGGGGCATACTCTCTGGTAAGTTAGTAAAGGACCCTGCACTACGTGGTCCCAGAGCTCCAAGAGGCCAGAGCAGAAGCTGCAAAGTACCTTGAGCTTCAAACTACTGAATGCTACCATGTTACTTCTGCCACACTGGCCAAAGCAAGCCTCAGGGCCAACCCAGACTCGAGAGGATGTAGAAATAGACTCCATCTGTCGAAGGGTGGCACCACAAAGCCGAGGGTGTGGACACAGGGAGGTGTGGTTCACCGGGGCCATCATTATCATGATCTGACACAGTAATTTACATCCTAAGCTCTTTTCTAATATGCTGCCGAACTGACCTCAGAAGGGCAGTGCCAATTTACACTGCCACCGGCCGGTGTCCTTTGGGAGTGCTTGCCTTTAAACAAACCGGTGCAGCCACTTTGTGATACGTGGTAGCAGAGGAGCTTTCTGCCCCAAGGGGCCACAGCCACACCCCTCAGTGATACCTCAGGACCAGGGCAAGTTAACGAATCATTCAGGGAAGTTAAGGGATCCTCCCTCCCTCTTTGGGACGGGGCGAGAGCTGAGCTCTATATCTCTCCCAGCTTGTCCTTCTTGTGGAGTCCTAATTAGGGAAAAGGAGTCAGGCTGGTGGGAGCTGGGGAAAGCAAAAAGAAGAGGCAGGTAAGCCACAAACCTGCCTTTCTTCATGGTCCAGGACAGGTAGCCCTCCTGCACTCAACTTATCACCAGACACCTGCAAGTTAGCTCACTGCAACCTTGCATTAAGCCCTCTTCAGCATAAAGTCCTCTTCGGCAACCAGCATAAACATTATTCTATAAAATCTCCAGCCAGCCTTTGTTTCCTTGCAGTCAGCTCTTCTCCTGGCCTGCCCATTGCCTTCTCACAACATAGCTTCATACTTCAGTAAATCTGCGTTTCATTATCTACAGGTGTCTTGGTAAACTCTTTTATCCCTCCACCACTGGCCCAGATAGTCATTGCTCACCCGCAACTTGGGCAAGAATGCCATGTGGACACCTGGCATTCTTGCCCAAGTTCCCCTCACCTCTGCTGACAAATAGCATCTAGAACAACTTTTTCAAAGCTCAGGTTTCATCAGGGCAGCCCCAGGCCTGAAACTCTTGAATACTAGGGGCTCTTGAGAAAGAGACTAAAATCCAGAGATGTCCCACCTGTCCACATCTCCAGCCTCTGCAGCTGGCTCTGCGGGCTGTGATCACCGGGGTCGTCTTCTGTGTTTTTTAAAGGCACCAGTCTCACTTGCACATGTCTGGGCTTGACTCTTTTTGAGTCCCCAATTCCTCTTTTTTTTAAAAAAAAAAAAAAAACAGTTTTATTGAGATAGAACTAATGTATCACACAATTTGCCCACGTAAGTATACAGTGTAATGGTTTTCAGCATATTCACAGAGTTGTGCAACCACCATCATCAGTCAATTTCAAAACATTTTCATCACCTGAAATGGAAATGCTATGCCTTTTAGTGATCACTCTCTTATCTTCCCAGCCCTAAGCAACCACAGATCTACTTTCTGTCTGTAGATGTTCCTCCTCTGGGCATTTTGGATGTGTGGAGTCACAGGATACGTGTCTTTTTGTGACTGCCTTCTGTCTCTCAGCATAATCTTTCCAGGTTTTTTCCATGTAGCACGTGCCAGCCTTACATTCCTTTTTAAGGCTGAGTACTGTTCCATTGCATAGATAGACCATGTTTTGTTTATCCACACATCCACTGATGGACATTTACGTTGCTTCCACTTTGCCTTTTTCTCTTTTACTTTTTTAAATTTAAAACAATTTATACAAATTTTGGAACGTTTCACGAATTTGTGTGTCATCCTTGCGCAGGGGTCATGCTAACCTCTGTATCATCCCAATTTTAGTATATATGTCGCCAAAGTGAGCACTGTTTTTTCTTTTTTTGTAAAGAGACAGTCTCATTCTGTCACCCAGGCTGGAGTGCAGTAGTGTGATTGTGGGTCACTGCAGCCTCCACCTCCTTGGCTCAAGTGATCCTCCCACCTCTGCCTCCCAAGCAGCTGGGACTACCGGCATGCACCACCACCCCCTTTCCACAGGTGCCTCGCCCTTTTTGGTGCACGCCATCACTCCTGGCTAATTTCCACTGTGCTGCCTGTTGTGAATAATGCTGCCATGAACATCCGTGTACACGTTTCTGGGTGGACATACGTTTTCATTTTCTCTTGGGTATGTAACTAGAGGTAAGAATTGCTGGGTCACATGGTACTGTACATTTAATTGAGGAACCACCAGTTTTCCAAAGCAGCGACACCCTTTCACCCCCCAACTAGCAGCATATGAGCAGTCATTTCTCTGCATCCTCACCTAAACCTGTTTTAATTCCCACTCCTACTTCAGCTCTCTGTGTAAGGATTGCTTCCCCTGGGAGGGCTCTCCTTGGGCCTTGCCCCTGCACCAGGATCTAGGTCAGCTTTCTTTGCTTCATGCTGTCCGGGAACTGGGCTCTAGGCAGCTGTGCTCTTCAGGGCGCCCAGGCAGTCTTTAGTGCATATTCCACTAATAACTATCTTCCCACACACACCGTGGGTTCTGAGATGGCAGAGACTGTATGTTTTGTTCACCTTCGCAGCCTCACCCGAAGCCTGGCCTGCAGCAGCTCACTGTAAATCTGTGGCGTGAGTCAAGTCAAAGAATGAAGGCACAAAGGTCACATGACTCACTCAAAGTGACAAAGCTCAGAGTCATGAGGAGCAGCCACAGGAGCCCTTTGTCCCATGTCGGCTCTAGCCGACATTGTGTCCACTGAGCACTTGAAACAGGGCTTGGCCGTCTCTGGGAACACCACCTGAGTTAGCCCTCCTCTGCAAGTGGTAGTTTAAAAAAAAGAAACATGGCGAGAGTGACTGAGAACGAAATTTTAAATTTTATTTCATTTTATTTAAATTTAAATGTTTAGTGCAAGTAGAAGGAGGAAGATAAGAATAATGTCAATACAGAGCTGAGCTCTGCTTCCCCAGCATGGGAACCTTCCTCTTCCACAGCACGGCTTCCTCCTGAAAGAAGTTTGAGGTGGCCTCAGGCATGGGCACGGCCTGCCCCTGGGGCTCCACTTGTGGGGGGCCTGGGAAGAAAGTGGGAGGCTCGGAACCCTAGAGAGTCTGCAGAGCCAGGAAGCATCCAGTTCTGGTTTCATGGTGGCTGCTGTTGTTACCTTGCTGCTTCTACTTAAATGTGGGAAGTAGAAAAGTTCCTTTTTAAAGTTTCCTTTCTTGTTAAATCATAAGTGTGCTAATAACTTTGTTAAGCCCTATCCTATGTAGCTGTTGGACATGCCACGCTTACAGGCACGTGGTACATTCTGTGTCCTTGTACTTTAACCAAGATATCTGTTCTGGACATGCTCACAGGCATGTCCCAGCTCTCCATTGCTTTTACCTGTTTAGAAAAGTTTAAGTATTAGCCAATTGGGTTTTAGTTTATATCGTGAGGTCCGGCTCCAGCCAACAGAGATCAGACACAGCAGTAAGGACAACCTCAAATGCATAAGGAGTAAATGTGTGTGTTTTCCTTTGTTCATTGTACTCTTGTGGCAAAATGGCTAGCAAGAATACCCTACCTGCAGTCCAGGAAGTAAAAATTGCATTGCTGAAAGATCCTTTGTCTCAGTGCTAATTTTTCTTTGCAGCACTGAGCATGTATTTCCAACATGAAACTTGTGGCAGTTTAAATTTAAATAAATTAAAATGAAATAAAATTTAAAACTCAATTTCTCAGTTCCTCTAGCCACATTTGAAGTGCTCAAAGGCCATGCATGGCTAATAGATACCACATCAGATGGAGTAGATATGGGACATTTCCATTATTGCGGAAGTTCTGTTGGCTGCTGCTGCCCTCAGCATCCATCTCACAGAGGTTTCTCCTGTCTCCGTCTCCTCCAGGAGAAGCTCTCTCTTCACCCCTCAGCTTTCAAGGGCTCAGGGCCCAGGGGCCCAATTCCCCACATCCTACACCTATCCCCTGTGTGCAAGCAGGGCCTGGGACTTCTTGTACCCAGGTCAGCCCTGGGACGCTCACTCATTTCCCCAATAGCTTGGCGAATCCCAAATGGTAGCCTAGGCTTACAAAGGCAAGAACAAACTCTTTCCTCCCTGGTATTACAAGACACACCAGTCTCCAGGATGCAAAACCCTCTAAAGAGGGGAGAGGAAAAATCCTCTCCTATTCTTTCCAATTCATCCCCATTCGGATGAGCCCGTGGGAAAATAAGACACTTCCGTTCCCCAGAGCCTCCTGCTTCTGGTTCACAGGCTCAACCACTCACATCTGTTCTTCCATACTCACAGAATTTGAGAATCCCATGATTGCTGCTGGAAAAGACTGCAGAGGGCACCTGGGTCAACCTTCTCATTTGCATAAAGGGAAGTAGGCCCAGAGAAGGAAGAGGGACTGGCCCAAGATCACACAGTAACCATTTTGACCTTCAACAAGTACTACCTGACTCCAAGCAACAAGGGAGAAACAATAAAGAATAAATTGTATAAAGCACATATTATATGGTAGGTGTTTTACAAATCACAACAACTTATTTAATTTTTACCATGAGTTTGATTGTGTATCTCAGATCAGTCTCTGAGGCTCAGAGAAGTTAGATGGCTTGCCTAAGGCCACACAGCTGGTAAGGGACAGGGCTGAGATTCAAACCCAGGTCAGTTGTACTCTAGAACCCAAAAGATGTGGTGTGCACCTAGTGAGTCCAGGGCCATCTCCCCAGTTGGAGGGGAGGGGCTGGGAGGTGAACCAGAGGTGAGCATCGGGAGAGGTGAAGGAGACATTTCAGACATGGCACATAAAATGTTTCATTAACCAGTGCTCATGGCCACTGCTTTGGGCTTTGGGACTTTGCGCTTTAAAATTCGAGTCTACGAAGTTCTTCCTTAAAAGAAAAGCTTATAAGATTATCTTAAGAATTTTTATCTCAAGACTAACACTTCTCAAGTTCAGAGATTTTGTGATGTGCACACTATGGATGTATGGATAAACAGAGCCTCAGCCAGGATGTACAGTTTCACTTTCAACCACGAAGCAAGTGGACTCCCTGCTATAAAATGAGTTTTTAAGTTGCTAATTTTTGCCACTAAAATTTTTGAGGTGGACCACGCCCCCTAGTGGAAAGGGGTGGACTGTGAATTACGGCTCACCCACAGGAGGGGTCTCATTTCTAAGTTCTGTTTATTTCATATTCTAGGAAATTTGTTTAGCTTTGCTTTGAATCAACCAGCGTGGTGAAATCAATTCACAGGTTTTTTTGTTATTGTCTGGATTTTGTTTTGGCTCTGGGTAAGGAAGACAACTGGGTGTGTGGAGCTCAATAAGAAACCCTGCTGTGGAATTGACACAGAGATCAGAGTTTCTGGGCGTGATCCACAGACACTCTGCATCAGGATCCCCCAGGAAAGCCTGTGATACTGCAGATTTTTGAGTGTCTCTCAGACTTTAAAATCAGCCTCTCTCAGTCAGGGCTCAGGATCTGCACATGCACAAGATTGCAGGTGATTCAGATGCACATTCAGTCCTACAGCCATGGGGCCGGCACATCACCTGTGTACTGTTTCCCTCCATCCTCACCCTTCCAGGCCCAGGTATGTGCCACCCTCCCACCCTCACCCCCGTCACAATCGAATGAGGTATCACATGGAACACATCCTGCACAGTGAGGCCTGGCATGCAGCAGATGCTCCGTGCACATTGCTTTAGAACAGATAGTAGATGTTCAATAAACACCTGAATTAAACACCCTAAAACATTTCCCCTCTTCTCTGTGGGCCATCGGGGGTGGGGGGAAATAGAAACAGATGGGCCTGTGGCCAGGCCTGAGTTGGACTCCCAAACTCTGAGGAGTCTTGGATGAATAAATTTACTTTATCTGGGCTCATCTTTTTTTTTTTTTTTTTTTT